TGCTATAAGATTTCCATAGCGATTTTTTGATTTATTTTGCGGTAATTTGCCATAATCCCATGACTTTGTTTGGCCTCTTGGAAAAGACTACAAATTAATCATTTTCATCATCATATGAATAATAAGAACTTGTTCTTTTGATTATGCCAATATTCATTCGTTTTTTTTAATATTTTATTTTTCGTATTTGTTTTGTCAGATGAATAAATGTTTTTCGTACTCGTATCTCCCGCTCTTGCGTGCGCTAGTGATATTCGTACGATAATTATCGTACACGTCACATAATTTGGAGCATTGTACAATCCGAAATTTAACTTGTACGATAATTTCAGATAATTCGATATGTAAATATAATTGTCGATATGTCTTTTTTGTTATTGTTACGTGATTCGGTTGCAGCGCACTTTAGAGCACTCAGTTATTTTTGTATATTATGTATATATTAGTCACATTTCTTAGCCCCATAGCCAGGAAAAAGGACGAAAAAGGACGAAGAAAAAGAGGAGGAAAGGACGAAAAAAGCAGCAACGAACCAAAGACTAAAAAAAAAGGTCATCAAGTTTGCTAAAATATATACATTTTCACTTTTTTTTTTTCAGTATTTTAAATCTTAAAATCTGATTAAAATCGGATCTTATTTTTCTATGCGTACGATAATTTTACTGAGAACCCGATAATTTTACGACACTGTGTCGATCAGACAAGCAAAAGTTTCTGGGATCACTGCTGTTATTTTTCTAATAAAGGTTATTGGATTCATATTCATCGAAATAAATCAGCGTGGTAACTTATTCTCGAACTACAGAAATACCTTTCCTTTCATCCTCATAAAACTAACAAGTTTAATTGTTTAAATTTACCTCATATTGTTCATCCAGTAATCCCGATTTAATTGCATTTCTTACATAATCCTCAAAATCTTTTACTTTTATTGGCATCACACTTGAATCATCGTTTTGAGTATTATTAATCAAACATGAAAGATTTTCTCTGCTTTGATTAATAAAAGAACGTTTTTTCGCTACTATCGGTGCCGTAGGTTTAATTTCAGGCACATTTTCATTCGTTTCTACAGTCTCGTTCAAAGCAAAAATATGAATCGTCAAATTTGTTTTGTTGTATCTAAAAATTCAATTAATAATATTAATAATTGTAATGTTGTCAAATAAATTAGGTTGTTTGGAAAGTTTGTGCCGATTTCTGCTAGATGGCACATTAAAGTTCTTTTATTTAAAAATAACCTGAAAAGTTCTGGACAAACAAAATTTAAAAATTACTCTTAGCGATGGAGAAAGATTCTGATAAAGAATGGCACTTATATATAATTTAACAAAAAAAAACTTCAATTGAAAAACATTTCAATCTTCCATCAAAATCGGCACGATGTTTCCGGACAATTCAATAATAGAATTTGAAAAATTTTTGTCAGTTACCTTCGATGAATAATAAATCCTAAGAAGAATATAACGATGAGTATAACG